GAATCTCCAGAGGCATCTCATGTATGCTCACACACTCCTTCTGGCCAGCTCCTCTCATCCCTCCCCTCTGCTGTGCTGTGGTTGCTTCTCCCAGTTAAGACGTGTCTGTCACTGTGCCTCGATCTCCTTTTTTGTTTGCTGCTGCAGCTTCTCTTCCCTGTCTTGGTCATTGCCAAGGATAAACTCTCCCACCCTATAGATCCTGTGACTTGCTCCTTAGGCATAACTTCTCTGTCCCTTCCGTGGTACAGCTTCTAAAGGTAAAGCTTTTATTCAGTTCATTGCAACCACCCTCAGCTTGGGAAACTTGACAGGTTTCCTAGCCCCTGGATCAGAAGGAGTTTGAATTTCACCACATTATATAGAACTTGATGTTATCTCCCTAGCTCTCTTCCCAGCTTGACCACCCTTTCTCTCCTCCCTTGGGATGCATCTTTCCTCTTCGTTTGGCTATTACTTCCTAGATTGAGTAGTGGGCATCTCTCCCAACTGCTGAGAGGAAGGATATTGCCCCTAAACTCTAGTTACCAGCCTTGGTGTGGCAGGAAGTTGTCCCTCCTGTAGCCCCCACCAGTTATGTTGCACTTAAACAAGCCAGGGCTGGCCCTAGTTGTCAGTTGGTGGTGAGCTCAGCAGCTTAGCCCACACTGTAGTGGTAAGTGATTGCAGGAGAAGGTTTAAGGCTGGGGTCATTCCAAGGGCTTTCTAAACATCCTACCCTGTGTTGCTTATCTCCAGGCATGACATAGAGATTGCATAATGGACCCAAGTTTTTGAATCTCCCTGTATCCAAGCCTTTTGTTAGTGGCCTTTCACTCTGACTCTGGGCCTAGTGATGTGACATTAGCCAATGAGACAAAACAAACAACGTGAGTAGAGGCTTGAAGAAGCACTTGTATACTTCTTTTTCCTTTCTCAGACTGCCACCATGAAAAATAGCCTGGGCTATCCTGCTGGGGGTTATGAATGACACATAGGGGAGAGCCAAGTCTTCTCAGCCAAGACCATCCTAAACCAATCAGTTTTTCAAATCCTCAACTGACCACAGATGCATGAGCCAAGATCAGCCAAGCAGTAGATTCAGAAGTGATGTCGTTTTAAGCCACTAAACTTTTTGCAGTATTTCTAAGCCACTAAATTTTGGGATAGTTTGTTACACAGCAATAGCTGATATACCAGGTATTTTTACTTGAGTGAAATCAAGATAAAATGATCATTCATTAAGAACATTCAAAATGCTGAGCTATGGGAGGGACATAGTGGAAGGGGCAAAAATCTCTTCCCATGGAGCTGGGGCTGGTTTTCTCTTGAGGGTACTGAGTATTAATATTATGATTGAATTGTAGGCATATAAACCTCAGGGATTTTTTTTTAATGTTCAAAATGAGCTCTTACTCCCTTATGTCTGTCACTTCCCTGAGTCCCTGGGAATTGAGAGACCTGAACAGATTAACATATACCTCTTTGGCAGATGGTACAATCCGTGATATCCTTGAGTAAAATTCTACTATGTTGGAAGGGGTTTCTGGATGAGAAAGAGAGCACCGTGAGTTTCTGTGAATAAAGAGTGAATGTTCTCCATTAAAATCTTGAGCTTCTCCTAAGGTACTTGTGCTGGAGTTGACATCACATGCTTGGGGTTATTAATCTGATTTAAAACCTTGTCTTTATGTGAACAGGAGTAGTTTTTAAATTAAAATAACCCCTCATTTAATTCTTTTCAGAGTGACCTAATGTTATTTTCTCAACAATAGAACAGAATGACCCAGAGCAGCACATGTGGATCTGGGAATAGGGGTGGGGAAGTGCATAAAGACTTTTATTGAACACTTTTACCATTCCCTAAATGGAACAACTGGATAAATAAGCAATTTCTCTGGGAGAAAAATTAAGCCTCTTTGGAGGATCTTGAGAATAGCTAATGAGGATACAAACTTGTTTGAAGGATAAGAGAAGAATGAACAGAATTAACAACAAGGAACAAACAAATATGGTAGATCATGATTGATTATTGTATAAGTAAATGTGCCTGGAGGAAAAAAAAAGCTTGGGCTTATATTCATTTTATTACCTGTAACAGTTTCAATGTTAGTTTTTTGTGTCTAAGATTCTGAATGCCATAGTCCTGCACTTCCCCCAGGGAGCGCCTAATACCAATTTCCTGCTATTTCCTTTATTTCTTACTGTTATCTTCATTTTCATCCAAAACAGTATTATTTTTTTCAGATTCAGTCTAAACAAACATGGCACAGCCTTGCTGCCTCTGTGGAATTATATCACAGTAATGGAAGGTTGAACAGCAAGCAGTCCATGGGTGCCATCTAATTCCTATATCTCCTAGTCAAATTACAATGTAATTATAAATGCATGATTTTCTTAATTTACTAGTTAAATCTGTCGGGATAAATTATCCCATTGTAGGAGACTTTTGATTCTAAAGTTGATTCTAGAATCTCTCAGAAGCTTTAGAGGTTTAAACTGTTCCCATAATGCAGTTTGTTCATTTTGGCCAAAATGATTTAGTTCTTTGAAAACATATCAAGTTTAAGTGATAAATATTGAATGATCCTTTTTTTGGTATGTCATTAAATTCTGTATGAGCTATTACTTTTAGTTCAACAATTTAACGAATATTGAATAGAGGGCACTGTGCCAGACCCTGTGATGGAAATTTAAGGGCAGGTGTCATTTCAGTTTATGAGTATGGTTAAACATGAATAATTTATGTCTCATTTTTGTTTTTGATATTTGTAATTATTATTTTTAATATGTTGTTGGGACTAGATATTACTTGCACACAGTACAAAAATCTAAAGCTACTAAAGGTCAAAGGTGAAGAGTAAGACAACTTCCCTCTCCTTATCCACCAGGTACCCAGTTCACCTCCCTGGAGGCAACTACCCGCTCCTTTTCAATATAATCCATTCTTTTAAACAGGCACATGGTGTGTGCGTTTTGACTTTTATACAAAGAGTAACATACTATATATATGATATTTTTCGCCCTGCTCTTTTTTTTTTTTTTTAAACTTAATGACATGTCTTGGAAAGCTTGCCATTTCCGGGTATGTAGAGATGTCTCAACCTTTCCAACAATTGCAAAACGTTTTGTGGCATGACATCGTCACAGTTGACTTAACCAGTCCCTTATTGATGGCATGTAGGTTGTTTCCAGCTTTGTGCTATTATAATCAAGGCTGCCATGAGTTCCTCTTGGAATACATTGTTTTTCCCTGCTCTTAACTTATTTCCCCTTATTTTACATACAGTATGATACAAAAATATATATAGTGTGTCTGTATTCCCTAAAAATTTCCACAAATTAAGAAAACAATAGAGGAACTATTTTACTCTTTTGGTTTTAAAAT